ACTCAAGATGAACAGCTGAGAAGCTGATGTGCATTGAGATATTCGCCTGTTCTCTGGCTTTAGGGCAAGTTTTCAGTAGGGTTCTTACAGTGTTGGGATTTTCATTAGTTTTTAATTTTATTGAGGTTTTCATTTTCGTTTTTTGTTTCAGGTTAGTTTCAGTTCATTTTAAGGTGCATTAATAGTTTGTGTGTTTTTTTTTTTTAATTCGGTTTCAGTTTCCCTAAGCTTTATCTTTCTGCTCCTAGCTTTACACTCATTCACAGAAAAATGAAACTGAACACTGCTCAGCCACACACACACACTCAAACACAATGCCACACGGTCCTGCATCGCTCCCACGTGGGCTGACCTCTCACCCTTAGCCATCAGCAATTCCCACAAATAACCACACTGTAATAATACCCCAACAGCACCACGGACACACACATACAGAGCAACCCGCGCAGAGATGAGGGGGGGTACTCTAATTAATCAGACAGGAATAGGATCAGAGCAATAGGAGCTGGAAGGTTATTATTACTGCTGCTGCTGCTGTAATACACCAAAATGCTCCTAAATACATAAAATACAGACATAAAACTAATTGGAAGAAAACTGTTTCTCTGCAAAATGGAGGAAAAAAAGAAATAAGGGACAAAAAGAGATGGGGGGGAGAGAAAGAGAGAGTGAGAGACAGAGAGACAGAGAGACAGTGAGACAGAGAGACAGTAAGACAGAGAGAGACAGAGGCAGTGAGAGAGAGAGAAATGAAATGGCATAAAGAAGAGAACACAGACAATAAGGAAAGCAAAAGAGGGAGTTAAAGAGAGAGACAGAGAGAAAGAATATGAGAAAGGGAAAGAAAGAGAATACAGTAGACATGGAGAGTGACAATGGGTGAAAGAGAGAGAGAGAGAGAGAGTGAGAGAGAGAGAGAGAGAGAAAAGAAGAAAGAGAGAGAAAACAGTAGACAGGGAGAGAGACAAAGGGTGAAAGTGAAAGAGAGAGAGAGAGAGAGAGAGAGAGAGAGGGAGAGAGAGAGAGAGTAAAAATGTGGGAGAAAAAGAAAGAGAGAAAGAAATAGAGAGAGACAGAGAGAGAGAGAGAGTAAAAATGTGGGAGAAAAAGAAAGAGAGAAAGAAATAGAGAGAGAGAGAGAAGGTGAACGAGTGAGTGAGAGAGAGGGAGAGAATGGGTGAAAGAGAGAGAGAATGATTTAAAGAGAGAGAGAGTGAGAGAGAGGGAGAGAATGGGTTAAAGAGTGAATAAGAGAAAGGAAAAGAACGGGTGACAGAAAGAGAGAGAGAGAGAGAATGAGTGAAAGAGAGAGACAAAGAGTGAGTGAGTGAGAGAGAGAGAGCGAGAGAATGAGTGAAAGAGTGAGAGAGAGAGAGGGAGAGAATGGGTGAAAGAGGGAAAGAGAGAGAGGGAAAGAATGAGTGAAAGAGAGAGAGAAGGAGAGAGAGAAAGAGAAGATGAAAGAGTGTAAGAGAGAGAAAATGGGTGAAAGAGGGAAAAAGAGAGGCAAAGCAACAGAGAAAGAGAGAGAAAAAGCGGGAGAGAAAGAATGAGAGAGAGAAGGTGAAAGAGTGAGTGAGTGAGAGAGAGAGAGATAATGAGTGAAACAGACAGAAAGAGAGAAGGCAGAAAGAGTGAGAGAGAGGGGAAGAAATAGAAAATTAGGGGAAAGAGAGAGAGACAGACAGAGAGAGAGAGAGACACAGAGAGAGAGACTGTGAGACACTTTGAGGAAATCAGAGCGATAAGGGAAAAGCGGAAGATGTGAGGACACGAGATAAATAGGTTTTTAAACAAGGTTTTTTGGAAATAAAAGAAAGGAAAATGCACCGGATACACAAAGGCCTGAAATTACTCCACTTTAGACAGCCGCTCTTGTGCAAGTCGCCAAACATAATTAGCTCTCTCTGTTTCTCTCTCTCTCTTTCTTTCCTCTGCTTCCTGCTGTTACAGTGATTAGTAAATCACCATCGTGAGCTCTCCACTCATTGTAAACTCACTCTAATTACACTGCATTGTTCTTGAGTGCTGGCAGCAGACCTCGCCTGCAGACTGCAGCGTAACTTTGCCCCCATTTTCAACCTGTTTATACTTATTTGCCAACTCACAAATTATTATAGATGAGCTGTGATCAGACTGCTGCACAGCTTGGCTCACCCGGGTGCACTAGCATCAAAAGAGAGCAACTCAAATCACTCAGGCTGTGTCCAAAATTGCATGCTATTATCCTAAACCACACTACAATTCTGAATGTGCTCCTAATTGTGGTGTACTGTTTAGTATATTAGTATGCTGGTTTAGGACACAACCTCAGACTGGTGTGTCCTAACTGAAATGAGGTACTACAGAAATAGTAATTCTAATAATAATTTTAGCAAGGATTATATGAGCCATAGTGAGGGATGCACTGTTTTGGGTACTACTGCACCAAACTGGCAGGTGGAACCAATTAGAGTCCATTTCAATACATTTCATAGGGAATCTCAAGGGGGTCTACATGGCTGGAAAGGAAACTAGCACAAACCAGCACTCAGTTAACCTAAGTATAAGTTAAAGGGGAATTACACCAATTTTTCAAAATTTCTGCATAATTAAAATGTTAAAATCTAAATAAAGTCATTCAGAGTAGTTTGATGTGAAATGCACCAATCTAGAGAAACATATCAAGCCCGAGTGATTTACAACAGTGGTGATCCTGAGAATTTAGTGCCTCTAACAGTTAGCATTAAAGCACCTCTCAAACTACCTCATGTAAAGAAATGACACAAACTGGTTATAAATTATTGCCTGATGCCTAATATTTTATAATTCTTCTGCAAAGGTTTTGGCCTAAAATGTATGTGTAATATACATGCAGGGTGCTGTAAGAAATATTTACTACTATTTTATCATTACCAATTACATTTAAAACACAGAATGCACAGTTGATGGTTCATGAGTCTTCTTGGATAGCAATAAAGTGGCTACATTTGCACTGCAGACATCATGACCCCTGGTTCCTATCATGATACCTTTCCCTACAATGCACCATTTCACATAAATGACTTTGGTACATCTCTACAACTGGACTATGTAGAACATGCAGTCGGTGGAGACCCCTTTTAAGAGCAGCCTATTTAGTACTTTGGCATAACTATAAAAACCTAATTTCTCAGCTTTTCAGCTTCAACATAAAGTGGCCAGCTGACCACTTCACCAATATAAAGGCTCAGTAACACTTGTAGTTCAATGTGTGAGCACTGTCAATAATTATTTTCTATCTCTGCCTCTTACACAGCAGAATGTAGCTATAGACTACCAATGTGAGCTCTGAAACTGCAGAAATACCCCAAAATGCCCCCCAAAAAAGCAGCTGCTTACTCCCTTAAACTCTTACTTCTGTTGTACTCGTATTCCTCTGCTGAGACCTAATTTCTAAAGGCTTTAAAAGACATTAGTGCAGCAGCTGATTTCCGTCACAAAGTGTCTGTATATTAAAAGTCATGTCACGTAGGTAACCTCTACCTACATGTCTGAAGAGATAATTGATCAGTGAAGAACTGAAAAGAAACTGCAACACTAAACTCAAGATGAACAGCTGAGAAGCTGATGTGCATTGAGATATTCGCCTGTTCTCTGGCTTTAGGGCAAGTTTTCAGTAGGGTTCTTACAGTGTTGGGATTTTCATTAGTTTTTAATTTTATTGAGGTTTTCATTTTCGTTTTTTGTTTCAGGTTAGTTTCAGTTCATTTTAAGGTGCATTAATAGTTTGTGTGTTTTTTTTTTTTAATTCGGTTTCAGTTTCCCTAAGCTTTATCTTTCTGCTCCTAGCTTTACACTCATTCACAGAAAAATGAAAACTAAAGGTTTTACTCAGTAATTCTCAGCAGTTAGTTTTGCAGTGAACATTATAGCTTTACTTAGCTCCTATGTTTTTGAAAACTGTCATTTTTATTTTTTATTCTGGTAACAAGCTCATTTTTTCACAGCTAGTTTTCATTTTAGTAATAGCTTTAGTTAATCAAATGAATTTTACTCTTTATTATCAGAACCTGCTGCATAGCCAGCAACATCGATTTACTCAACAGATACAACGATTTCCGTTCAGAATCAAGATCTGTGCAGTAAAATGACATTTTTTCATCTCTTTGGGGAAGGGGCTGTGTTGTGACCACGCCCCGTGATAAAGATATGACCACGCCCCATGCTAACAATGTTATTTGAGAACCTTACATTTACTGTTTTGGTGCTGAATCAATAATAAACTTTTTTTTGTGATTTTTCACATAAAAGAAGTCACCAGAACACATCAAAGACACATCAAAGAAATATTGCTTAGGGGAGGGACCCCCACACACACTCTCTCTGTTCCTGGTTAGTCAGTATGGATGGTCACGTACAGCACAGTATTGTTCCAGCTGATTCATAAGACTGAATCAGACTGAACTACGTAGCGTTCAGAAAGCCCGAACGTTATTTATCCCACCCGTTTCCCAAAAGACTCCGCCCTCTTACTGAGGGATTGGCGGGTAGTTGTGAGCCTTAGCGCAGGAGGGCGGGGTTTGTCGGAAAACAGGTGGGAAAAAAACACCAACCCCGGCGGCGAGCTGGCAGGCAGAGAGGAGCGAGACGTGAGGCGCGAGCGCACCGTCCTGCAGCAGCTGCAGCAGCAGAAATCCTCACTGCTTCATTTCCTCACACATTCCACCTCCAACAGCCCATCAGCCACTTTACTCTCACATCTCACACACAAATGTTAATGAAGTTCCACCAGTGCGCCGTTCACCACAGCAGGAAGATAAACAAGCCTCAAGTTTTCATTAATACAGTTTGCCAGTTCTTTTTTTTATTTTTTTATCTAACTAAACCAGCTTATGTAGCTACAGCATTTCAGGCACAAACCCAAAAGCCATGTTCTTTTCCCTCCATCCCAAACTGCGCCAAAATCTTTGAGAAAACCAAAAAATTGGAGAATAAAAATGCATAAAAACAATATTTGATACAAATGTTTTTTACATTACCTGTTGGCTTTTATTCCTGCCAGAAGCCCGCTCTCATTGCCCTTCCATTACGAGCCATAAAGGGACCGGACAGATCTCCTCCTCCTCCTCCCCGTTAAAAGGCTCCGGCGCTCCGCTCCAGCACGCGCTGCACAAATCCCCCCTTAACCCGGCGCGCGCTGTCTCTGCACTTCAACCCCTCAGAAAAAGAATAGCTCTGCGGTTTAACTGGCGGTATTGGCGTTACCGCGCGCTCACATAAAACATCCGAAAAAAGTGCGAGCCGGCCTGCGCTGGACTGGGCTGGACTGGCTGGGCGGCGCGCGCGCGCGACCTCGGACGCGCGCCTTCGGAAAGTTGCCGCTCGCCCGCTCGCTCGCGCCGCGTGCCTCACTCACTCAGCGACGTCGCCATCGCAACCGAGGAGCCAAACTTCGCCTCAGTGCTTTAATTTGCTTTTCGGATGAATTTGAAATCAAACAAGCTCGCGCGCCAAGCTCAGAGTTCCTTTTTCCCGCGCTGAGTCTTCTTCTCTTCCTCTTTCTTTCTTTTCCCGCGCTGTCGCTCTCCCGGCCTGAGCCTGAGGAGCTGAGGAGACGCGGCCGCTCGAAGGGCTTTCTGTCTCTGACACGCTGAAGCGGCAGAGGGGCAGCACGGGGCTCGAGCCGCACCGCCTCGCGCGCGCACTCGCTCGCTTGCGCTCTCTCCTGGCCGGCCGAGCGGCGCTTTGGCGCCACCTAGTGGCGAGGTTTCATTCGCGTGCTGTTTCAGCGCTGTGCTTCTCTTTCCGGTGTGAAGTTGGAAAGTGAAAAGCCGCGGTGAAGCAGCGCAGGTGCCTAAATTAATCACGAAACAGCAATTTGGAGCTAAACGCGAAGAATTAAAATAGAACGGAAATAAAAATAGACTGTCTTCGTCATAGCCTGTATCTGAGTATGACATATTTATAAAGTCGTTTCAAATACGTTTGTGTGTGGATGTACAAGCTGTGCAAAAGTCAGAGACCGCCCTTCAGTTTAACGTCCAGTCAAAACAGCCATTAAAGGTGCAGTGTGTGAGATTTAGGGGGAGCAGAGATGGAACCATGTTTTCAAGCCAATTCCCATTAGAAAGCAAAACCATGGGTTTTAATCCTAACGGTATCTAATGGTGTTTTTTCAGTGGGGCTGTAAGTATAAACTGTTGTGTTTCTGTTAGCTTTGAATGAGTCCATCATATCTACATAGGGAGCGGGTCCTCTTCCAACAAAAGCCGCCATGTTGCACCGCTATGTTTCTACAATAGCCCAGAACGTACAAACCAAACACTGGCTCTAGAGAGTGTCTTTCGCCTTTTGACGTTAAAATTGGAAGTTTGAATTTGGTGGTGTTATAGCACTGATTAGAAGGTGTAGAAAGAAGAATTAGTGGTTGTTGCCAGTGCTGGCTCACCCTTTTGTGTTGTGATAAGTTTGAGAACCCAAATTTTGACAAATGGAGGATCATGCTAATTATTTAGCTCAAGAAAAGCAAGGGAGATGAATCATCATTGTCAAAGAAGTAAAAAACATGACAGCAACCATACTCTTGGAAAGGCAGAGGTGAGGAAGGGGTATTCAGTTGGTTGGAATCTGCAACCTTTCCGCTAGATGCCTCTAAATTTTACACACTGCACCTTTAAGAAGTTATTTATTTTTCAGCAGCAGGAAAAAGCAGAAAATGTATTTAACAGAAAATTACACAGATGCCCCAACAACTAAATATAAAATCAAAATTCAGTTTTTTTTCAGTATTTAACCCTCTCAGGTTGACAATGTCATATGTAACATCAACGGATCCCATACATATAAGAAGTATTTCGTGAATGATGCATGCTAGAGACATACTTTTCTTTTGCCCAGAAGGATAGTATTGCTCCAGCAACAAGTCAGGAACACAGCCTCTGACTGGTCAATATACTCGACCCAAGGTGTCAATGGGCGGCTAATAGCCCTGCTAACAACAACAATAACTGTTTCCAGCACAGGGATAATCACATAAGACATTCGGTGTTGAGTTTAACTTTGTCATTCAGAGTCTCCAAAAAGAAAGTGCAGTTCAAGGCTGGATTACAATCCTATCCCCGAAAGGGATAGGACTGCAATAGAGCCCTCACTGAAACCACTGAAGAAAACACTAGCCTTCCAGGAGAACATCAAGTCTTTTGCATGCAGCGTTCCCAAGATGTTTTATGTACTACATCTTTATCTGTTGTCGCATACAACATCATTGACCTGAGAGGGTTAAGGAGTCTACACTTTTCCTTTACTACAGCTTCCATTCTTTTGTAGACTTCAGTTCTCTGAAACCTGCAGCGTTGGTCCTCCACACCTACAAAGTTCAGTCTTAGAAGCTGGTTGCATTTTCCGCTTCTAATGATCCATGTTACCCAACACATTCAGTGATGGTAAGGTCTGACCTCTGGGGTCGTCAGTCCATTGTTCTGAGAACACCAGCAGCTTCCTTTTTATATTTGCAGATTTTCATCTTTTTTCTCAGTAACAGCTTCTTGACAGCTGCACATCCTTTCAGACCCACAGCATTGAGTTGTCTTCTCACACTATGTGTACATAACTTCACTTCACGTCCTGTTCATTTTAATGGAGAGTTCTGTCAGTGCGTGATGGTTTGGGTGCGATGAAATCTGCCTCGCCGCATTCCGAAAAAGTTCAGCAGATTTCAGCTTTATGCAAATGAATGCAGTCACCGCACTGTGTTTAGCCAATCAGGCAGCGGTAGATCGGTCTTCATTATGAACGGCAAACATGCCTTTCTTTAAGAGCTGAAACTATGGTTCTCTTTTTCTTTTCTTAATCTATGACTGTTGTACATAATAATATAATATACTTTTATGCAGAACTGTTGACAGTGAGCTTTTGGAGGAAAGATGTTCGATTGGTTTTCATAGTTTGAGCTGGAACACAGTATTTAAACCATACAGAGCTACATTACTTGCTAAGGTAGCTAGCTAGCTTGCTAGTGAGATGAAGCAAGCTAACTGTCTAGCTTGTGTGAATGACTACATTCCTAAAATCATAAAAAATATTTTAGTCTCATTTAAAGCTTCTGTGCAACAGCAAACAGCATATCAGATTGTTTACTGGCCCAAATATGTTCAGCACTGTTCCTTCATTTCCATAACAAAACACCCATCAGTGGCAAGCAGAGAAACCTTGTGCAGTGAAATGTGGAGAACAAGTGGACACGTACCGCCACAGCGGAAGGACGGACAGAAACACCTGTGGATTTTTTCAGATCTTATGCAAAAGTGGAGCTCGATTTTGTCCTCTCTCAGAGTTGAAAGCCTTATTCTTTATTTAATGGTGTCTCTTTTGGTGGTCTACCAGATCTTGCACTGATGACAGGAGTTCCATCTTCTCTGTATCCTTAACTTTGTCTTACTCCAGTTTTGGAAACTGCTGTTTTTCTTACTCATTTTCCATAGACTTTCTTCTTCCTTATGCAAGTGGATTTTCAAATATCTAATCTCTTCAGAAACGTCTTCTAAAAAATGAACTTTTTTTGTAGGCGTGATTAGTGAATGAACTGTGTTAGGTGTGGTTAGTGAGTGAACTGTGTTAGGTGTAGTTAGTGAGTGAACTGTGTTAGGTGTGGTTAGTGAGTGACGGTAGGTGTGATTAGTGAGTGAACTGCGGTAGGTGTGATTAGTAAATGAACTTTGTTAGGTCTGATTAGTTAGTGAACTGTTTTAGGTGTGGTTAGTGAGTGAACTGTGTTAGGTTTGATTAGTGAGTGAACTGTGTTAGGTGTGGTTAGTGAGTGAACTGTGTTAGGTGTGATTAGTGAATGAACTGTGTTAGGTGTGATTAGTGAGCAAACCGTGTTAGGTGTGGTTAGTGGGTGAACTGTTGTAGGTGTGATTAGTGGGTGAACTGTTTTAGGTGTGGTTAGTGAGTGAACTGTGTTAAGTGTGGTTAGTGAATGAACTGTATTAGGTGTGATTAGTGAGTGAACTGTGTTAGGTGTAATAGTTGACTGTGTTAGTGATTAGTGAATGAATTGTGTTAGGTGTGATTAGTTAATGAACCGTGTTAGGTGTGGTTAGTGAGTGAACTGTGTTAGGTGTGATTAGTGAATGAACTGTGTTAGGTGTGATTAGTGAATGAACTGTGTTAGGTGTGATTAGTTAGTGAACTGTGTTAGGTGTGATTAGTGAGTGAACTGTGTTAGGTGTGATTAGTGAATGAACTGTGTTAGGTGTGATTAGTGAATGAATTGTGTTAGGTGTGATTCAAATCCTGCTCTTGACTTTCTCTTTATAGTTCAGTTCTAAAGAGACTGTTGACTCCCACTGTGCACTAACTTCGTTTGAGTGCTCTTCACAGTAAAGTGGGTTAACTGGCTGAAGATATAGAGGATGGACAAGTGTTCTGCTTCTGCACTTATGGAGGGATCTCACTGTACACAGGACCAATGTGTTGACTTTAGCCTGTGGATGTGTGCAAGAGGCAGAGTGGAAGAGAGAGAGAGAGAGAGAGAGAGAGAGAGAGAGAGAGAGAGAGAGAGAGTTGTAAGTGGATGGAGTATCAAGGCTCTAGAAGACTTTGCTAAAAGCCTCTCAGAAGGCATTTATCGTTGTTGATACATTCGGCTGAAGTTTATTACACCTGATAGTAAGTAATGTCCTCCATTACGCTTCAAAGAGATGCCTCTCTCTCTCTCTCTCTCTCTCTCTCTCTCTCTATGTCTCTCTTGCTGTCTCTATCTCTCTCACTCTCTCTTGCTCTCTCTGTCTTTTTCTCAGTCTCTCTCACACTTGCTCTCTTGCTCACATTCTCTTTCTCTCTCTCACTTTTTCTTACTTTCTCTCTTATTTTCTTTCTATATCTCTCTTTCTCCTCTCTCTCTCTTTCCCTCATTGTCCTTCCATGTCCCATCATTTGTGCCATTTCACTTCAATAACTCCTCCACCTCTCTCTCTCTTCCCTCATTTATGATAGTTCACTTTTTTCTCTTTCTCTCACTTCTCTCTCTTTTCTTTTTCTCTCACTCCTCTTTTTTCTTTCTCTCACTTTACTTCCTCTCTCTCTCTTTCCTCTTTGTCTTCCTAGTGCTCTCCCTCCCTCTTTCTCTTTCCTTCCCTCTCAAATACCTAGAAACGCCTCTTGTAAGTGTTCAGAAAAGAATCAAATTGATATGAATTTAATTGACCCATTTTTTAAA